ACTTTTCTTCCCACAGTTGTTAAGTGAATCACTGCAATTGTTAAGTTAGTAACATGGTTGTTAAGTGAATCTGGCTTCCCCATTGACTTTGTCTGACAGAAGGTAAAGTTGCAAAAAGTGATCACATGACCCTGGGGCACTGCAACTGTCATAAATACAGGCCAGTTGCCAAGCGTCTGAATTTTGATCATGTGACCATGAGGATGCTACAGCAGTCGTGTGAAAAACAGTCATAAGCCACTTTTCTCCGTGCTGTTGTCATTTCGAATGGTCACTAAACAAATGGTTGTAAGTAGAAGACTACCTGTGGTGGATCATTGTTAGTGATATTTTTATTTCCTTTTTTGGCATAATGTGCTTGGATAACGTGACATTGAGTTTTATTATCTCATGGCCAAACCATTTTAGGGATGAGTTGGCCAATCTGTACTTGAAAGCAAACAGGGTTATTGTTTGCCAAAAACAACAATCTGAAAGAAAAAATTCTGAATTAATTTTTCATGGTCATTACAACTCAAGCATTATGGAAGTTTTACTTATCAGTTCTCTTAGTTTGGAGCCGCTCTTCCTCCAGTCTCTCAAGGTTATTCCCATATATCAGGGGTAGGCAACCTTGGTTCTTTTATGACTCGTGGACTTCAACTCCCAGAATTCCTGAGCCAGCATGGCTCAGCATGGAAACTTCTCCCTTTCTCCTCAGCATGGCTGGCTCAGGAATTCTGGGAGTTGAAGTCCACAAGTCATAAAAGAGCCAAGATTGCCTATCCCTGCCATATACTATTACATCATTAGAAAAACAAATGAGCGGGTGGTACTTCTTGTGCCCTCTACCTCCTGCCAATGATAGTTACCCCATCAATGTTCATACAAATAAAGATCCTGCAGGAAGTTTCTTTTACTTTTCCATCCGAGCTAGATGTAGTTTGAGCTTCTCATAAATTGTGAAATCCAGTTTCCACAATTGTTGATCTGCCTTTTCTAAAAGCAGCCAGAGCATTGATTAAAATAAAATGTTAATTGAAGGAAGAGGTTAATTTTCCATTTAATGCCTAGCTAAAGTTTTCACAGGATTGATCGCAAACTAAATGGCCTATAATTGACAGGGTCGTCAATTTTTTCCTTCATATACAAGGGAACTATTATAGCCCTATTTCAACCCAAAGGGATTCCAAAATACTTTTCTGTACCTGAAGTTTCCACAGGTCAAAAAAGTCAGAATGGTAGCCCCAATGGTATGATCAAAGTGCTGCCTGTTTTTTAAGTATGTTACACCTTCCAACTGCTGTGGCAATCTATTCTCACACCGACTGTTGACAGTGTGCCCACTGATGTATTGTTTCATATGTCACGCATAATTTTTTCACACTTTTACCTCTTATTTCTAAAATTAAAGCATGAGATTCCCAGGGAAGAATCAAAAGCACAAACTGGGTCATCCCCATCGATGCAGGGAAAAGCATCTTTGAATCACTCTTTTGAACAAATTTAGGACTGAACGTTTGGTTGTTTCTGATTGCTACAGTTCATTTCTAATCTTGCTAACCAAGACTTTTTTCCTCAGCCAGAATACCAAAGATTGAAGTGTTACTTTTTTATGCAAAAAGAAAAGAATCCAATGAACTACAGCCCGGGTGTTTTTGTTGTTTGTTTAAAGAATATCAAGAGGTTACTCAATGCAAAGGCATATTCTTTCTATTGGGCCTGAAATATTTGTGAGAACGTGCATCAAGTCATTCAGCTCTGAAGGATATCATCTTCCACATGACTCTTTCTGGGAATGACTATTGAGTGGCTGGGGTGATTCATTACTCAAACATGTTCCCGCTGATGCAGTCAAAAATTTTAATAATAACCATTCTAGTTCATTGAGGAAGGCTTTTTAGCTAACATCAGAATGAGGAATAAGTCAGTCATGCATCCTTATATTGTCTGGTATACAGGTAGTCCTTGACTTAACCATTTGTTTAGCGACCGGTCAAAGTTACAACAGCATTGAAAAAAATAACTTACGACCAGGCCTCACACTTACAACCATCATAGCATCCGTACTGTCATGTGATCAAAATTCAGGCACTTGGCAACCAGCATGTATTTACGATGATTACACTGTCCCGGGTTCATGAGATTATCATTTGGGACCTTCCCAGCTGGCTTCCAACAAGCAAAGTTAATGGGGGAAACTGAATTTGCTTCATGACTGCAGTGATTTGCTTAACAACCGTGGCAAAAAGGCCATAAAATCAGGTGTAACTCACTTAACAACTCCTTTGCTTAGCAATGGAAATTCTGATCCCAACTGCAGTCATAAGTCAAAGACTACCTGTAATTTAATACAGGTGCTATATCAAGACAGTATTTTGGAATTGGTGTTTGATGGTTTTGGGAGAGAGTAGAAGACACTTTAAATAGAAGTATGCATTATTTATTTTATTTCTAAATACAGTGAGAAGCCCTCCTGGATTCAAGAGTCCAGATACCTATTCTGCAGAACCAGTTTGTGGGCTTGAATGTCAAAGTCTCATCCTGTGATAGCATCCTGCATAGTTCCTACATAAATTTTGGCTGCCTTAAGTTTTAAAAATAGTGCTGCTTGTTTCTTGGATAGATAAGGCCCATCTTCATTTCATAAGCATTTCAATTTAGGGGATCTTATTCAAATCAGTATTAGTGTCAGCAAATAAGTTTCACCACTGTTAAACCATTTCATTTAAGAATTTTGAACACAACAGGAACCTGAAGTTGTAATTTGGTGCATTGTCGAAATGGTTTGCCTTGTGAAATTAAGGCTGACGGAAGTTGCTTTTTAAAATGGAGCTCTTTCACAAGAATTCATCGTCAGACAGTTGAAGCTAAATCTGCTTGCTGCAACTTTCTTCTTGGCTAGGAGTACATATTTGGGGTACTTTTTGACAGCCATACATCTTCACGGAACAGAGACATATTGAAAAAGTTTCCAGATCTCCAATGGTTTCATATTTACCAAATGCCAAGAAAAAGGGTGTGGTTAAACTCCCTCTTGGCATAATGAAAATGTTATTTCAGGGCATTTGAGACACATCCCCCTTGGGCCTCTACTGTTAGGATCAAAACATTAAAATCACAGGGCTGGAAGGGACTTTGGAGGTCTTCATTAAAAGCAAAACAATAAATATGTGGGAGGAAACAAAGAGAAAATTTTGTGTTGCTCAAAATGAAAGTCTAATCTCAGAACAGTTGTTAGCACAGACTGAAACATTTGCTCATAGCTGGCAGATTAGAATTATTAATATCCCCAGTGCAAATTCACAGAGTGATTTTGGACCAGCTCTTCCTTCTTTCAGCCCAACCAACCTCACAAGGTTGTTGTTGCAGAGATAAAATGAAGCAAGAGAAGGTATGCAATGTGTGAATCAAAAGCATTTTTCACTTTTTGGATATGAAAACTACAGTACACCTTTCTACAAAATCCCATGTAAGTTGCTTTAAATTCTTGGAGGAAAAGGAAGATACAAATAAATTAGTAGTTATTTCTTTATTCATTAGATGTTATCCTCCTTTCCTACTTTTCGAGGTAACATACAGCATTCTTTCCTTTTTTTCTCCACAATAGCCATCTTAGCTACTTGACTATGATAGGTTTTAACACGTCATATCCCAATAGAAATATATTGGGTCTGAATTTTAAGATAAATAGACTTAAGCATTGGTGACTGAGCTGGCTGGGGTATTCTGTCAGATGACATCCACACCTCTTAAAAGTCTAAAGTAATAAAACACTGCATTAAGCACTCAACTAAGTAAACACAACACGCCATAAGCCGGTCTATCCAAGATTGAAACTGATCAGTCTTAAAATGCAGCCAACATCTTTCATGGGTTGTGCAAACCCATCTGTGATGTGCTAGCAACACTGGCCATTTATTGAAGATTTTTGGGAGAAATTAAGTCCACTATAAAAAAGATTGGTGCAGTAGTTAAGGCTCCAGGCCAGGGGTTCTCAAACCTGGCCACTTTTAAGACTTGTGGACTTCAACTCCCAGAATTCCCCAGCCAGTTCTGGGAGTTGCAGTCCACAAGTCTTAAAGTAGCCAAGTTTGAGGACCTCTGCTCCAGGCTCAAAACCCAAAGACCATGAACGTTAATTCTGGCATTGGCCCAGTGATCTTGGGCCAGTCATTCTCAGTTCTAGGAAGAAGGGAAGGGCAAATCACTTCCAAAAAATGTTATCAAAACGATGCAGGGACTAGTCCAGTCAGTCACTAGGAGTCAACATTGATTTAAATGGCATACACCTATATACACAATAGTAAACCGGTGGATCCTAGATTGAATATAGCTTATAAGCCATCTTTCCCCAACCAAGTCCCCATCCAGCTCTGCCAGGGTACAAATTTCAAGCTTGAGAGGCTTTATATTAATATTAATATTAATATTAATATTAATATTAATATTATTATTATTATTATTATTAATAATAATAATAATAATAATAATAATAATAATAATAATAATACTAATAATAGTAAAGTTGGAAGGGACCTTGAAGGTCATCTAGTCCAACCCCCTGCTCAGGCAGGAAACCCTAGAGATAACGTAACAAAGTTCAATCAGAATGGAAATTAATGCCCCAATGCATTGAGAAAAAAACCCTGCTTCAACTATTTCCTTAGCCTTAGTAATAGCCTCTATTCCTCCTTTTCTTCACATAATGGACTCTTCCAATGCAGCATCTTCTCTAACGGGCCTGTAGTATTCTAGCTAAATAAAGGGGGGGGGGTGTCTGAAAGAACCAAGAGATTTCACCCCGTTAAGGGGCTGAGAGGAAGACCGAACGAGCGTCTTCCCTCTCTCCGCTTCACGCCCTTCACGCAGGGGCGCGGCTTGGCCGATCCCCGCCAAGCCCCGCCCCCTTTTTATAAGGCTTCCCGCGCCGGCCATTTTGTCTGTCTTTCTTTGGCTGCGAGTGGGAGAAGCTGACGGATCTGTCCTTTTTTCCCCCTCCACCGTTTGTTTTATTTTTTAAAAAACTCTTGTTCAGAGCCGGAGTGAAGGGCCGCTCCGTAGATGGCCAGCTTTCCTCCGAGTGTTAACGAGAAGCTCATTGGTAAGAAAGAGCCAATTCACTTTTTTTAAAAAAAATGTTTCGTTGCCAGGGTTATGGTTAATAAACGGCGGGTGTATATTGGTCGACCTGTGCGAGGGGAGAAAAAAAGTAGTTTCATGTTATGGATGCTTACTTAAAGAAATCTCAAATTTCATTAGGGACGGCTTTACTCCCAGGTAAGTAAGCTCGGATTTCCTCCGTCTGGCATTTTCCCGATTATTTGCTTTGCAGCTGATGCTGGTCTCAGTCACCGGGGAGACAAATGCTGGGAGACTTAACAAGTCTAGCGGGCGCCAGGTTGGGGAAGGGCAAATCTATCCAGGCTGGCCCCTTAACGCCACTAAAGAAGCAACATTTTAAATGCCTGGATCTGCTGCCTTATGAACAAAAGCTTCGTTTTCCTGGGAAGAATAATGGTGCACAATAGGCACGGCTTACCCCGCCGGGGCATGTGTGTATTTGTATAATATAAATAAACATAGGTGTCACCACTTCGGTATGTCTTAAAAGGAATGATCGTGTACGGGCGAAGAAAGCAAAGCAAAGAAGCCCTTTGCAAGCCAAACAAGAGGAACTTGATGTGGGTCAGGTTCCTTCAGCCTTAATAGGAATGATCCAACCCATTTCAGGGGAGTTGCATCTGGGTGGATATTGGAAGCAGCCCTTCATTTATATATAGGGAGAAGGTTATGGTGACCCTAATAGCTCCACTGTAAGAGACTCTGTTGCTTTGCCCTTAGCAGCTCTGCCACTCTAAAAATAGTGGCTAAGGAGACTCCTTTTGACCCCTCAGTTATTTGAAGGATCTGGGTGGGTGTGATGATTGGTGGGGCATGTTGACAGAAGAGCCTTTGTGGTCTTCTCCGCAGTTATAGAAAGATGGTTCACACCATTCCCCCTTTGCACACAAAAAAGGAGATGACGTGGCCTGTAGTCCAACATGTCTGGAGAAGGCATATATGGATGTTGAGCAGATGTAATTGTTGAATGGAGTTTTTCAGCTGGCAGGATGCATCTGGGGAATGAGTTGACGGTGGCCCTATTTTGGGATTGGAAGTGGGCTTTGTGGTCTAGGCATCTGGAGAAACCAAGGCTGAAGAAAATGAAATTAGCTGTGGTTTATACTTGGGTTCCAGATTGAAATGGAGGTTGGATGGGAGTGGACTTTAAAGCCCAATCAAGAGACAAGGAACATGGGAGTGGAGGAAGAGGCTGGCATCGGGGATTTGATCAAATGGGAGCAAGTATTAGAAGATTGAAGACTTTTGCCATTGACTGTACTTTCATCTATAGATAATGGCAAGGCATAAAATACTACCTTCAGCCTGCATAATAGCCAATAATGCTTTGTGTTGCTTGCTATACCATGTCCCAAAGGTGCTTTTCAAAGCCAGCTAGACTTCTTTGAAGGCATTTCGCTTCTCATCCAAGAAGCTTCTTCAGTTCTGAAGAATGGAATGGAAGAAGGAAGCTTTTTTTATGAGAAGTGAAACATCTTCAAAGAAAAAACAAAGTCCAGTTGCCTTTTGAAAAGCACCTTTGGGACAACCATGACCTGGATGACTGAGAATCTCTGTAGACATTTGATGCAGACATTTTGAGCCCAAAATTTATGTTGCTAAACAAGACATTTGTTAAGTGAGTTTTACTCCATTTTATGACTTCTTGCTGTAGTTGTTAATTGAATCAGTGCAGTTAAGTTAGCAGCATGGTTTTTAAGTGAATCTGGTTTCTCCATTGACTTTGCTTGTCAGAAGGTTGCAGAAGCTGATCATAAGCACTGCAACCGTCATAAATATGAGTCAGTTGCCAAGCATCTGAATTTTGATCATTTGGCCACGGGGATGCTGCTATGGTCATGTGAAAAATGGTCATAAGTCACTTATTTCAGTGCCATTGTAACTTTGAACAGTCACTAAATGAACTGTTCTAAGTTGATGACTACCTATATATTTAATGAACGTTCCTTTTACATTATGACAAAACATGATGGCACATAGATGTAGTAGAATTCCATGAGTATGATTTCAGTTTTCCTTTTCTGTCAACTTACGTGTTCTCTATAATATGCTGTTGGCCCATCCCAGGAAATTATAGTATACAGTACACATAAAAAGAGATTGCAGTTTAAAGTAACAGATTCAGATATGAGGATTCAACTGAAGTACAGATTCAGAAGGTGAATAAATTAATTGTACCTTAGCTTTTTGATAATTTTGTTAATCTTTAAGGTACCCAAAGAGACATCATGTCTGTTGTAGCAGACTAATCATAATTTCAGGAAGTATGTATGAATTATCTCGAACTAATATTTCCGTATCCAATTTCACAAGTCCTTGAAAGGAACAAGATTGCTTGAAAACCTCATACACATACAGGATGCAAATTGTTTGCTTTTGTAAAATGATCTGCAAAGTAATATGACTTTTCATTGATGCTAAAGTTGTTTAAACTGTAGTATATGAATAAATAATGCAACAAATTACTTCACAGTTGCTACATCTAGTTTGGTCCAATGGGAAACCTGGGTTCAAGTCCTCCCTCTGGCATGAAGCCACCTGGCTGGGTGACCATTTGCTCTGTGTTTGGAAGATGACACGGGCAAACCACTTCTGAAAATGCTGCCCAAAACCTTCATGGATTTGTCTATGTAGTCATCAGAAGTCTTATCTGACCCACAGCAACAACAACAATAAAAAAACCACACAGTTTCTGATCCTCAGTTGTAGTATCTAACTTGTGCTGCATGTGGTAGCAAGAGGAATTGCAACTTTTTGTAATTTTTGAAATGACAAGCCATTTTCTTTATGATATGCTTAGGTTCTATTCAGCTTTATGTTGTTTATCGTGTTTCTGACTTTGAAATTGTTTTTTTTTTATATATATTCTGTTGTGGGGAATTGTGCATGTGTAACCTGAAAGTGGAATCAGGTTACACATGCACAATTGTTCAAAACATTTAACTTCTGGTATGAAGTTATATATATTGAATGTCTTACACAAGAACCTTATTTTTTAGGAAGATCACGGACAGTAGGAGAACTCTTAGCTCCAGTTTCTCCTTTCGATAAGAAGTGTGGACGTGAGAACTGGACAGTTGCTTTTGCTCCAGATGGCTCCTACTTCGCTTGGTCACAAGGCCATCGCATAGTAAAGCTTGTGCCCTGGTCTCAGTGCCTTAAGAACTTGTGAGTATGGCTGGCTTAGGAATTTGATTATTTGTCTGAGACCTTTCTACAATCTTCCTATTATGGAAAAGTTTTAACTTAAATACAACAACAGGAAAAGATAGCAGATTGAACTCAGTTATATTTTGCCTGAATATATACATTGTGCTAGATCAGTGGTTCTCAACCTATGGGTCGGGACCCCATTTGGGGTCGATCGACCATTTCACGGGGGTCGCCAAGCAAGGCTGTCCGCCATTTTTTCCCCTTTTCCGGCGGGTGCCTTACCTCCCTTGAGCTGGGCCAGCTGGTGGTCGGCCTGCTCCGTCTCTGCCGCTTGCCAGCTATGCCTCGGCCGGCGCAGGGGGCGGAACCACGCATATGCGGCGCTCCCGGACAGGGAAAGTCCTCGACTTACAACCGGTTGGGTAGTCCTCGACTTACGACCGGTTTAGTCCTCGACTTACGACCGGTTGGGGTCGCGGCATTAAAAAGGTTGAGAACCACTGTGCTAGATTATGGTTTGCTTAAAAATATGTCATGACACATTAAGTATAACTTAAAAAAGCCACAATATCTAAGTCTGCATAACACACTACTGTACTTACCAAGCAACTGTGTTATGTCTTACCCCACAGTGTTATACAGTAGTGAAAATATGGTTTAAGTTTGTTGTGTCTTTTCTTATTAGCTTCATGGGAATTATCCATTCTAACCATCTCCACCTTTTGGTCTTCTATTGGATAAATTCCCCAAATCCCTGGTTACCGGCTTCATTTTAGGAAAAGCTGCTCTGTTCAGAAGAGAGTATCTAACCTAATAAGCTTTAGAGAGAGGTTTCTCAAAGGATTGTGTAAACTAAAGAAAAGGATGTGGTTCTTCAGTTTAATCATACTTCCTCATGATGAAGCAAGCTAGTTGTAGCTCAGTGGGTTGACATTTGGATTTGAATCTAGAAGACATGGATTAATTTTACCTTGGCTTTGGTATGCCCTCTGCTTTGTTTCTGCCCAAAGCAGTGGCCTGTTTCTTAGGGATAGACAGAAAATGCTTTCTTCTAGCTAGAATTCAACATCTTTCTTCATGTATTAAACACTGGATTGAAATATTCATTATAGGATGATTGATGTTAGTGTTGTCTGCTGACCACCTGCATAAAGAAATGTTTTATATGAGTTTTCTAGAAAACCACAATCCCTTGTCAGTGATGATCCTTCTTGATGTTCTTGGGACTTAAAGTCCAAAAGTCTGGGATGTTATAATGGTTTATAACAGGACATTTAAATCAATTGGCATGCCTTTAGGACCTTGCTCTTGCAAAATGTTTACACTTAATTTTCTCACCCACAGCTCATTGCATGGTGTAAAGAATTTTGCCAACTTAAATCATTCCAAGCTTTCAAGGCAGAACAGTGATGGCAACCAGAAAAACAAGCCCTGTGAGCAGGTCATAGATTGTGGTGACATAGTCTGGAGTCTTGCATTTGGATCATCAGTACCTGAGAAACGGAGTCGTTGTGTGAATATAGAATGGCATCGGTTCAGATTTGGTCAAGACCAGCTTCTATTAGCAACAGGCTTAGCCAATGGACGTATCAAAATATGGGATGCCTATACAGGTAAGGAAGGACATTTTGACAGCTCATTTGTCTTGCTTTCCTTCTAAAATAACAATGAGGTTAGTCCTCTTCAGATGTTGCCATAGTACAGTTTCCACCAGTCTTACACCTACATGACTTGGGTCCAGGTTATTTGAAGGACCATCTCTCTATTACTTCTGCTGGGTGGGGCTGTAATGAATTTTATTATATAATGGATTTTTTTTAATTATGTAGGCTGCCTGTAGTCACCTATATGTGAGTTGGGTGGCTATATAAATTAGTTTAATAAGTGATAAAATTCTTGTTGGTTGGAATTGAGAGGAAGTTAGTGATATCTGGAGAAGCATTCCTATTTTTATTTAGAAGAGCAAAAATGGCATACAATATATGAAAAGACTTTGTTGTTCGTGAACATCTCTGGTGATCATGTGAGAAATGGAATTTACAAGATTAGAGATATTGGACCTCTAAAAGTAGCTGTCAGAGGGCAAATGGGAAGATATGTCAATTACTACATTTTAGCCAATAAGACTGGATGCTAAACTAACTTGATCCTATCTGATAAGACAGGAGTTTTGCTTTTTAATTAGTATTCTCTATTGTGCCAGCCTAGAATTTATCCAGATCATTTGTGGGCTAGACCTGCCATTGTCCCTCTGTTAAACTCATTCCAGGCTAGGTTTACTATTCCTACTAAGCTACATTTTAAAGCCTCAAAAAGTTTTAAACTATCCTTTAGGCTTATCACAATTTACAAACCAAGGCACTGTTATATGTGTTCCTTTAGTACAAATTATTTCACTTCTTGAAAAGTGTCTTTGCAACTGTAATTTTCATCCAGTTTAATTTTTATTTAACCTGAATACAAGTTGATGCCCAATTCTTAAAATCGAAATATAAATAGCATTGTGCTGCATAAGCCTTAAATGTTGAACCAGTGGCTTTTGTGTTAAAATCTTGAAACTGCTTGGGAGATAAGTTATCCTGGCACCTTTTTATAAAGTTTATCCAGTAGATAACTCAAGTATATTGACTTAAAGCAGACCTGTTTGGGATCAGAGGTTTGTTTGTTTTTTTTTTAAAAATAAGTCTGTTATGTATAATACCTCATTAGTTAAATATAGGACCTAGAGATCAAGAGGAATATTGAAAGAACTGGATTTGTTTAGCATCAGAAAAAAACAACCAGGGGTGGTACAATAACCGCCTTCAAATATTTGAAGGACTGCCATGAAGGTCAGGGACAAGCAACACAGATAATGCGTGCAAAATAATGTGTGCACAAACTGTTCTGTACAAGCACAGCTGGTTTTGGGTGGTTCACATAAAAGCTGTAATATGCATGTTTGGTCTGGATAAGAGAGAAAGGGGGATGGAGATTGTTCCAAATACAGACTGAACCGGAATTTTCCAGGTGGGAATGTTTTAGTAGGGGAAGGTAGAAAGCAAGGTAACTCCAAAGATGTGGGAGTCTGGGAGAGGGTGGAGGAAAGAAATCATGTTAGGAAAATTACAGAGGATATAATTCTGGGATTCCTGTGACTATGTTTTTCCCCCAGCCCAAATCTGGAACCCCAGTAACATTTTTAATGCTGAATGATAGCCAACCCTGAATGATTTGGCAGAATCTCCTAAAGTGATTTATTCCATTTTGTGCACATCCCTGGGATGCTAAATTCTCTGACGTTTGTCATTCTACCTATCAATCTCTCTGCTCCTGATTTTTTAAATAAACTCTTTCTAATAGGGAAAAACCCCTATTTATGGGGTGGGCAGGTATTGGGCCCACAAAGATCCCATTATCACGGCAGAGAATATCTTGGTCCTCTAATTCACCCTCTGATAAATGGCTGTTTTGAAACTGGCTATGGCTATCCTGTCAGCCATTTTATGAATAAGCAGGTTTTCTCAGGCAGCCATTTTGTGAAAATGCCTGCCACATGCTGTCAGAACTCAAAAGTGCATGTACTTTAGAATGGCTACCCATCCCTGCAGGAGCAAACGTGTCTGCGTGGCAACATGGACAGACAGCCGTTCGGTGTGTGTGTGTGTCAAATCTGTATTTTAACTTTAAAATTTTAGGAATTCTCTAAGGTTCTAAGCCTATTTTTGAGATGAGAATTTTGAATGCTGAGGGCAAAATAGATATTTCTTTCTCAGGCTCAGTACAAGAATGTATTCCTTATTTTGGCTAAAGAATGTGGAAACTTGTACTACCTAAAATCATCTTTTTTGCCACAGAATTTACAGGGTGTTTGGCTGTTGTGTAGTAATAGTAGGAAGTATTGCATATGCATTTGATTTAAAACTTCCTATATTAATAGTATAAAACATAAAATAGAATTCAATTGCTTGCAATCAGAGACAACAATATAAAATTTGGGCCTCATGACATTGGATACCACAATTACTTTTCAAGAGTTATAAAATGTATATGAATTATATGTTCAAAGTAATAATATAAAAGGAAAAGCTATTACAGCTTCTTAATTTAAAACTATCTCAAGAGCTATTCTAATTTCATAGGATGATCTTTGTCCTCTGCCTTAACTATGGAATATCAAGCTCATAGACTATGGAATATCAAGCTCATAGACTAAAATGCATTTTTCCAACAGGGAAGCTCCTCCTTAATTTAATGGACCATACTGAAGTTGTCAGACACTTGACTTTTGCCCCTGATGGCAGCCTGATACTAGTATCGGCCTCAAGAGACAAAACATTACGAGTGTGGGACCTAAAGGATGATGGTATGTTTTCGGGAAAGGGACAACTGTGTTATAGAAACTACAGTCACTAAAATCTTGGGTGTTCTAATTCTCCTAGAAGTTGACGCTGTTGTAAAATAACAAATATACCACAAATTACCACATATTATCTTAAATTAAAATTAAGGCATATAAAAGACATAGTCCTTTTTGGTTTGTACCTTGTAGCACGCTTCTTAAAGATTATATGTGATCCGTGGCAGGAAATACATTACAGATCTTTTACTACCTGGGATAATAAAAGACCAGGGAGCCATTTACTCAGTAATGGCAGCATGTTCCAAATAAATTGAATGGATTTTTGAAATGATGTTCTGTACACGTGAAACCCACCCTGGTTCAACCTCAGATGTATTGAAATTTGATTCCATACTTGTAGGGAAGTTGCTACAATTCACTTTTAAAAGTTGATGCTGCTTTTTAAATTGCACCACCTTCTTGGTGAGAAGATGGAAAGCTGATTTTTTTTTTCTATTCACTTTAAAGAATGACCAATGTCTTGCTAGCATCGGGAACATGATAAGAACTGGGCTAGTATATTCTCCTATAATATAACACTTTGTTATTTGGATTTTTCATCATTTTTACTTGGTTATGGTGTTAAAATCTTCCTTTTAAGTGGGCAACTAGTTTAATTTCAGGCAGGCAAAGAATAGTGGGAATTATGTAGACAAAGCCCAAAATCACTATTATTCAGAGAGTGATTGATACCAATCCATTTTCTTCTGTAATTTTCCAGGAAATATGATGAAAGTATTAAGAGGACACCCAAACTGGGTGTATAGCTGTGCTTTTTCTCCTGATTCTTCCATCCTCTGCTCTGTGGGAGCCAATAAAACAGTAGGTACCAACGTTTCATGATCTTCATCTTGTATTTCAATTGTGAGCAAAGAATAATTTGGAATCTTAAAATAAAACATGTTTGTGCTTGGCGTCATGCTGCTTTGATGATGATGTAAGGATTTGCATGACCAAAATATTTACAGTAATTAGCATAAGGTTGCTCAGTTATGTGTTACTGAGCTGACGCTGCATTGCTTTTAGATTCAGAGAAAATGAACTTTTGCATGTCTCCATCTGTTCCATAATTCTTTACAAATAAAATGCAAATTCCGTTTTAAGAAATGTTTTAATATTAGTAGAAATACATGTTTTGTTCTTGATGCCTCTTATATTTTCCTCCGAAAGCCTGGGCTGCTCTCCTATTTAAAAATACAATAGTATTCTTGGTTGGTATTTAAACTACAAGCAACCCTTGTGTCTTGGTGCCTTATAAAGAGCTGCTGTGATATGTTAGTTTTAAATAAAATTGTAATGCCCTGCTGCAAAGTTCAGAATTAAGTTAATTTTCAACATAAAGGGCCTTCTCCAACCTGATTCCCTCCAGATGTTCTTTGACTTGGGATAGTCCAGTCAAGATGGCAAATGGTCAGTGATAATATTGGAAAAACATCTTGAGAGATTCAGGTTGTGAAGACTGGAAATTGTAGAACTGGCTTGGGAGGGGAAGCCATTAGTTTTAATCAGTGGGATTAAGTTTTGAGAAGCATATGTGAGATGGATTTTCTTATATATACCATAATTCCAGATTGAACTTGTATACGGGTGGGCAACTTGTGTCTCCTGAGGCTTATTTATATGGAGTCAAGGGTTTTGTTGGGATCAGGAATTCTACATTTCCTGCAAAAAGTTAAATTTCCAGAATAAATGGTTGGCTGTAAGCCTGGAAAAATGAGTAAAATCCAAGGTTTGCAGTGAGCTGGGAGGATGGCCTAGATTCACCATCGTAAAGCTTTTGGGTTAAGCGTTTCTTTAAATAGATCATATTTAAAACAAAAATAGAAAAAGAGTTGGGGTGTGGTTGTGTACCATACTTGAGAGCCACCGCTTCGGAATTGATTTTATGGCATTGCATAATTGCACAGCTCTTAATTACAGACTTACCCCAGCCAAATTCTTGCAAAAAGAATGTTTTGGCTTTTGGTGGGTTCTGCGGCTATTAGTCAATTTTTAATTTTTTCTGTAGTGGCCTTCAGCGTTGACCAAGTTGTCCATCCTCTGGGCTAGTAAGAATCCTGGCTTCAGCTGAGCAGCTTAGCCAGGTTAGCATGGTGGGAGTTGGGGGAGAACATATTTTAACATTATGAAGCAGCGGCATAGGGAGGGCAGACTAGTCAATAAAGTCTTAAACAGAACAGATGTGGATATATGCCTTGATCTTTTAGGCTGTGTGTTTTCCATAAGCTTCTTGCTTTCCCTGTCACAGGTGGTGGCAGCAATATTGGTGTGATTGAGGGTAAGCTGGCACCACTCAGACAAGCGCACAATGGTGTTAGCTGGGCAGAAAGATTGGCACCTCCGGCTACCAGGCTGGAGGCGAACTTTACCATAGGACGAAGTAACCTTGCATTCGACTGCAAGGTGTACTGTACGTACGCAGGTGCTGGTTGATGTCCACCTTCTGCTTTTTTTTCCCTTTCTTTTCTTTTTTATTTTCTCATTGGTGAGAGCCGTTGACTCCTTTTTAAAGAAAAAAAAATTACCAACTTTAATGTCTTAGCTTTCCATTCCTATGGAATGTTGGAGTCTTATAACTTTGAGGCAATTGTCAGTTTACTATAGCTGATTTAAGAAAGTTTTGTTATAGTAACAAAACGGAGACTTAAAGAACTTATTTGCTGTACGTATTATGCACAAATTCATGTTGTGCGAACGTATGTTTAAAAGCTCTGCCGATTCTTAAGGCTCAGAGTGATTTACCATATATATATATAAATTAAAAAAAAACTGTGTTATTAAAATAACAACCACAACCAATCTTCTGTGCAGATTTGTTTTCGTTGCTAGACTGTTGATAATACACAGAAATGTGTAGTATAAATTTGATAGTTAGATTCTCCCAGACATGCTTAAAATTGACGCAATGTGACAAAACATTTAAATGCACGTGAACTGTATTTGAGCCATCCCTGCCAGTAGAAATGCTTATTTATTGAAACCTTATTTAAGGAAAGAGCCTGGCAATAATGTTTGATTTTTATGCTTAAAAGTAAGCTTAAAATATGCATACTTTTAATAACTTGGATTAATTTTTGTTTTGCCAAGTCATGTCATTTGGCTGTGACAATACCTGTTTTTGCTTGCAGTATCTGTTTCTCTTCCTAGGCTGTCGTTGGCGATCCAAGCCTATTGTAAACAAGTGGTCTTAAACTCACAGGGAATTCCACGGGAGTAACAATATGTTAACCTTCCTTTTTTTTCTGTCTGTATATTTCTTAAATTTGGGGTAGATAATTGAATAGAATGGGGATGTTAGTACTTTAACCCTATTACTGTTATTTTAAAAGTCAATAAATATTACATGCCTTTCAGTTTAAGAATCCTACATTGTTAAAACTCCACTTGACATTTATCTTTATGTATTATTGGCTTACATTAGGAACAACACTTAACATGTTAGCATTGCATGTATACTTTAATTTCTGTAATTCTTGAGTACGACACTGAGCGTATTCTTTAATTGTAGTAATTCATCATGCTTGGCCTTTAATTTTAATTCCAAGTACTAGTACAAAGATCTGGGGTGGGGGAGGGGTTGGAGGGTGCTTCCACTGGAATTGAGCAGAACTATAACATGGCCTTTTTTGATTACAGGTATTGCTTTGGAATATGGATAAATACACCCTCATCCGAAAATTGGAGGGGCATCACAACGATGTTGTAGCCTGTGAGTTTTCCCCTGATGGAGCCTTGCTGGCTACTGCATCTTACGACACCCGCGTCTACGTCTGGGACCCCCATATTGGAGCAGTATTGATGGAGTTTGGGTAAGTTTGTGTCTTGGTCTGGTCCACTGTTTCTTAACTTTGGCAACTTCAACTCCCAGAATTCCCCAATCAGCATGTGTAGGCGCAAAGTGGGGGAATAATAGGATGTGTTCCAATTTTGTTCATGCGGAATGGATTTTCCCTTTCTTCCATCTTGAGATTCTTTTTACTCTACACACACACACACACCTCCCTGGAAACAGCTACAAGCACTGATGGCTGCTTATGGGGCAGCAGTGGGAAGCATTTTGGAGATCAAAAGAATATAGGAAAGCGCTGGCCCATTGGGAGCCTTAGGACTCTGTGAACTTTTAAAGCTGGTGGTAATTTGATGACTTCTGCACATCAATACAGGTGGCCCTTGATTTACAATAGTTCATTTAGTGACTGTTTGAAGTTACAACTGCACTGATAAAAACTGATTTATGACCGTTTTTCACACTTGCAAACCTTGCAGATCGCCATGATCACATGATCAAAATGTTTGGCAACTGATTCATATTTATGACGGTGGCAGTGTTCCTGGTTTATGTGATCCCCTTCTGTGACCTTCTGACTAGCAATGTCAGTGGGGAATCCAGATTCACTGAACCAACCGTGCTACTAGCTTAACAACCTCAGTGATTCACTTAACAACTGTGGCAAGAAAGGTCGTAAAATGGGGCAAAACTCACTTAACAAATGCCTCACTTAGCAACATAAATGTTGGGCTCAATTGTTGTAAGTCGAGGACTACCTGTATGTCATTCGGTGCATTGCTTTAAATTAATCACCTTGTAGGTGGTTAAGTAGCCCTAAGATGCTTTTGACAAAGTCTCTTCCCCTTTCAAGGTAAACAGAAAGAATGCTAATTTAAATGTTGGCTTCTGTCCAAGCAAATTAAAAAGGAGAGATTTTGGAAGAGATCTGCTATTGAAGCTGGATAGCTGAATAGGTCTTCCTTCATTCTCAAGCACTTGGTCACAGCACAGGGACCTCTTGTACATCTTAATGATTAAATAAAATGCAACAGCTACCAAAGCTTTGATGTAAAGTTTCGTTTTTATCCACAGGCATCTGTTTCCCCCTCCAACTCCAATATTTGCTGGAGGAGCAAATGACCGCTGGGTCAGATCTGTATCTTTCAGTCACGATGGACTGCACATTGCAACACTTGCTGATGATAAGTACGTACAACGAAGCACGCTGGATTTTGCTAGTTCTTGCTGGCCGAGAAAATAATCTTGTTCGGTAAATCCTGGCACTGGTTCATTTAAGTGGATGAGAAAAATGCGGCCCTAACTGCCATTAAAGATGATCCCATGATAATCAGATTTAAATATAATTATTTATAATTTCGTTTTCTACAGTGGGTGCCTGAGCAGTAACTGAGCCAGAGGCAAGATAACGTCAAGTATAATCGGCAAGAGAGGCAAATGTTTTTTTTAAAAAAGCCAAAGTTGGGTTTTAAAAATGCTTTGAAAGCTCTCCTAAAAATCAAGGGAAGGGTGTCAGCTGTTGTGTTCAAGGACCCGATTTAACAAATGTTGCTGCTTGCTGTTATAGAATGGATTAGCCGTGTATCCTCGTCAGCCATGTCTGGGAAAGTTGTGGGATAATCTAGAATGGGGGGTGGGGAACTATGGTTTCTTTATGACCTGTGGACTACAACTCCCAGAATTCCTGAGCATGGTGGCTCAGGAATTCTGGGAGTTGAAGTCCACAGGTCATAAAGGGGACATAGTTCCCCATCTCTGATCTAAAGGCACCTCTGATTTGAATGCGGTTTGTTGGATTGAATGGGAAAATTGTTTTCTGGTTTTTTTAAAAAAGGGAAAATGTTTGCAGCAAATTGTTTGCACAAGGTGTTTTCCGAAGAATAATGTTTGCAGCAAATTCTTTAGTCAGCACAAGCACACTAGTTCTTCATTAGCATACAGGTGGTCCTCGACTTAACAACAGTTCATTTAGTGACCATTCAATGTTACAATGGCACTAAAAAAGTGACTTATGACCATTTTTACAATTATGAGCTTTGCAGTATCCTTATGATCAAGTGATCAAAATTCAGATGCTTGGCAACTGGTTCATAATTATGACCGTTGCTGTGTCCCAAGGTCATGTGATCCTCTTTTGCAACCTTCTGACAAGCAAAGTCAGTGGGGAAGCCAGATTCACTTAACAACCAGGTTACTAACTTATCAACTGCAGTGATTCACTCAACAGCTAAGGTAATAAAGGTTATAAAATGGGGCAAAACTCACTTAACAAATGTCTCACTTAACAGCAGAAATGTTGGGCTCAATTATGGTCGTAAGTCAAGGACTACCTTTACTTCCTATTGTGTTACCAGAGGAGAGTCAGTGATGTGAGAGTTTTGCTTTTGCCTCTCAGCAGAAGTTGTGTTGAGAAGCTGTCACGTAATATTATTTGGGCAACTTGTCGTCACTTTGGCTACATTTTCTCGCAACAGATCTGCTGAGGCCCTTACAACCAAAGCATTACCTTCCCAATTTATTTCATTTTCCTTTTATTATTAAGGTCACAAGACTTGCGCCCATTCAGGAAATAAAATAGAAAGTGCGCCCATTCAGGAAATAAAATAGAACTGTGATGACTCAGTGACTACGGTGAGTCCTGAGTAATCATTTAAGTGTCACAGGTTAATTCATATTAGAAAGGAAAAGGAAAAAACTGTCAAAAGTTTAATGAAGCGCAGCGCATAACGTAGCAGCTTTATATATGTGTCGGACATTTCTGTCTGCTAACAGATGCTCAGAAATAATCAGTGACCTCTGGAGTTCAGCTAGTAAGGAAACCATAAAATCACCTGCTATTGTAATGGGAGCAGGTGAGGAAGATGGGTCTAAAACAGGGGTCTTCGAACTTGGCCCTTTTATGACTTGTGGACTTCAGCTCCCAGAATTCCTCAGCCAGGGATGCTGGCTGAGGAATCCCTGAAGTTGAAGTCCACAAGGGCCAAGATTGAAGACCCCTGATCTAAAAGATAACAACAACAACAACAACAACAACAACAACAATAATAATAATAATAATAATAATAATAATAATAATAATAATAAAGTTGGAAGATACCTTGGAGGTCATCTAGTCCAACCTCTTGCTCAGGCAGGAAACCCTATACCATTTCGGACAAATGGCTGTCCAGTCTCTTCTTAAAAACTTCCAGTGTTGGAGTATTCACCGCTTCTGGAGGCAGGTTGTTCCACTGGTTAATTGTTCTAACTGTCAGGAAGTTTCTCCTTAGTTCTAGGTTGCTTCTCTCTTTGATTAGTTTCCACCCGTTGCTTCTCGTCCTGCCTTCAGGCGCCTTGGAGAATAGCTTGACTCCCTCTTCTTTGTGGCAGCCCCTGAGATATTGGAACACTGCTATCACGTCCCCCCTCGTCTTTCTCTTCATTAAGCTAGACATACCCAATTCCAGCAGCCGATCTGGTTCATCACTTCTGCAAGTACAATTGCAATCTTTCACTGGGATTTGTTTAGAGCACGTATCACAATGTTTTTTACCTTTGCAGAGCCGGGGTAGGCGTGGCCTGTGCATGTCTCATCTGGCCTGTGGGCTGCCAGTTTCACACCCCTGCATTAGAGCATGTCTGGGAGAATGCTCTCAATTTCATGGTCTCCAGGGGGAAAAGATAAGCCAGAACCCATTGTAAGACAGTGTTTCTCAACCTTGACAATTTTAAGGCATGTGGACTTCAACTCCCAGAATTCCACAGCCAGCAATGCTGGCTGTGGAATTCTGGGAGTTGAAGTCCACATGCCTTAAAATTGTCAAGGTTGAGGAACGCTGCTGTAAGGTTTTCTAGAGATACAGCTGAATGTAAGTCCCAAAGGTGTTTTTTCAAAAAGGCAACTGGATGTTCTTGGTTTTTTATCTTTCAAAAAGCTTTTTCAGTTCTAACTGACTGGTCATTTAGAATTGAAGAAGCTTCTTGGATGAGAAGCAAAAAGCTTTCAAGGAAAAAACCCAGGAAGTCCAGTTGCCTTTTGAAAAAAGCACCTTCGGGGCAACTATGACCTAAATGATTTAGAATCTCCATAGACAGTTCAGTAGAAGATGCATAAACTGGAGAAGACAAGATTTGGGTATGAACATACGAAGTTTACTGAAGTCCAGAATGCTATTCTTAAATAAGACAATTGTGTCTTATGTCAGTGCTGCTAATATTGAATATTCTTGCTTTGACAAATTATGCTGAACTGTCTGGTACTTTTAGAGTTAATTCAGAGGAAAATGAGGGAGGAGGGAAAAGCCCAGCGAAAGAGGGAAGAGAACCTTTGCCCTTCAAACTAATTGGAGAACGTAAATCATGACAGCAGAATAAGGGAAGGGAAATGCTAGCAAAATAACTGCTCGGTGGGTGGAAATTTCAGATCTTAGCATCCCCTTCGTCATGCCGTGCCGACATTTTGTAACATAAATAAAAGACTTTTAGGAAAATCAATGCCTGGAAGTTCTTTGAAGTGTTTCGTTAGCCGGAACCCTGACATCTTATTTGGCAGTGGCCAATTGTAGTTGCATATTTCACAAAATGACCTTAAATTGGTTTGGGGTACAAGGGGACAGTCCCCTGCCCATCGCCAAAGCTGTGTGGAAGCGTGAGACTTCAAGCACAGAAATTAAAACAAGCCCCAGTGTTCTGTTTCAGCAAGAAAGATAACTTTCTTTGCCTCCTATAAAGGCGTGTATTACTTTGGATTGCTGCTGAGTTACAGTGGTTGCATTTACATGCTACACGAAGCCAATTTTTGGTTTGTCTGCCTTTGGATGAGTATTTTGCAAGAACCAGCTGTGGTTGTCAGCCGTCCCGGATACACCAAACTAGGAAAACAAAAGTATACAATACCGCTTTTATTATACAGTTTTAATTAACAAAATCTTGCAAGTCTGAATGTGTTCCCCCCCCCCCCCGCCCCTTCCTCTCTTTATCTTTATGAAAACTAGGAAGGGTCTTGTCTGAGGTGCTTACTTGGGTTACAGTTCTGGCCTGGACTCAAAATTATTTTTATAGTTTGCAATCCAATTGGTTGATCCAAAGCCACACCTAATCTGTGAGTTTTATGTTTTTTCATGAACCCTCAGTTCCTTCGAGAACTCTGGAGGCCATCTCGCTCATGGGATAAGCAAAACACTTTGCAAGAGATATCTCAGTCAGGCCTCTAGCTCAGTGGTTCTCAACCTGTGGGTCGGGACCCCATTTGGGGTCGATCGACCATTTCATGGGGGTCACCAAGCAAGGCTGTCTGCCATTTTTTTTGTCCGCCATTTTTTTTCCCCTTTTCCGGCGGGTGCCTTACCTCCCTTGGGCTGGGCCAGCTGGTGGTCGGCCTGCTCCGTCTCTGCCGCTTGCCAGCTACGCCTCGGCCGGCGCAGGGGGCGGAACCACGCATGCGCGGCGCTCCCGGGCAGGGAAAGTCCTCGACTTACGACCGGTTGGGTAGTCCTTGACTTACGACCGGTTTAGT